TACCTAGTTGTAAAATGGATATTTTTTTATTTTTTGCATTACCGTGTATCATACGAAATGCAATAACGTTTTGTCATTGCATCAGCCATTATTTTCACATGATTTATGGTCTAAAAACTTTCCTCATTGCCAAATTAGCAGCCATTGTGACTGTATTTGAGTAGTGTATTAATCTTAGAATACGGGTAAAAAAGATCCGCCCATTCACCTACAGGAAGGACCCTAATTACAGCTCTGCGAAATTAAGGCTTTTCTGAATGTGAAATTAGTGTAAAAGTTGGTTGTAGCAGCACAGCTGTGCACACTGCTATCGTGAATTCCCAAAATTCCGGGACATTTTGTGACAAGGGGAGAAGTGAATATTCTTTGATAGTGTTGTAGAGTAATTTTCACAGTGGAAGCTTGTATTTCGCTAAGTCGGTCCTAAATTTGGTTCAACGTACAAAACGTTAGGAACTTGAAATAATAGTTAATGACGCAGCAATCTAGTTGTGTGGCTCATACTTTAATATCTGACATCGACTGACTCCACTGAGCTTCACTGGCCACTGCTACTACTACTACTACTTATCAATGGGAGAACCTATTTACAATAGAAATAGGTACGTTACGGTATAACAGATAGAGATGGCAATTTGATGAATGAAGCACATTGCCACATACTCTTCAATATCTTCTTGTAAGAAGATACTTGCTGTTCTGTTCCAAAATGGTCCAAATATCAGTTTTACGACAGTTTCACTTCGCCTGACATTTGGGTTTGGTTTGAAATTATTTATAACGGCTAATAAACGACGGCTAGCTGCAGATATACAATCCAAGCGTCTTGTATTTGGTAAGTTATGTTTTCAGATGAAACTTTTCTGCAATATTTCCTTATACTTCACAGAAAAATCACGATTGATTGGGGGATCCATGATAAAATCTGGAACAGCTTGATTTTACTATTTGCCTCCAGGAGCAACGGTGAATGATGCAAGGTAGGGTCAGCTATTGAAATTAAGGCCTAGTGTGTTGGAGCTTTTTTTTATTGTTTTCCAGGAACTTTGGTCTTCATAGACTTTCTTAACTGACTCGGCAAGTTGGCACAGTACTTTCCATTGATAGAGTGGTCCTTTTGAAGATAGTCAATAAAAAACAATGTCTTTCGTATTAAAATAAAATGTCGCTCTCATTTTCTCTGATGATGAAATGACTTTGGCCTTTTTGAAGCAGGTATGGAGGGTTGTTTCCACTTCATGGGTCGTCTCTGGCTCAAAATAATGAAGCCGACATTCATCTTGGGTTAGGAAAGATTCAAAGAAACCAGGTAGATTTGCCTCAAACAATGTCAGATTTTCCCGTGGCGTAATCATTCTGCTTGGCTGTTGATCAGTTGTCAGAAGACGTGTCACTCATGAAGCAGACACCTTCGTCATGCCAAGTTCATTGTGAAGAATATTTTCAACTCTCTTACGGGATATGCTAATAGCATTGGCTATTTGATTTATAGACAATCGTCTGTCATCCATCACCACGTGGTGAAAACCATCAATTTTTTTTTATCTCGATGGTGGCAGTTGCAGAACATTTAAACTTTTGGTAACTTCAAGACTCTCCCTTTCTCTTCCTATTCGCGACCCACTTATGCTTTGTTGATAAAGCTAGGACGTCCCCTCCTCATGTAACAACTAAGGAACCATGAATGTCCTTCTGGGGAAAAACCCTTCTTCTGCAGAATCTTGATAACATCACGCGACCAAATATTTTCTTCTTTAAATAGCCAGATGTTAGTTTACCTGGAAAGCTATTAATAAGAAGAGTTGAAATGAATGATAATCATTTATAATCAGCCTATGATACTCTTCTGCCCACCTTTGTAGAAGTGACATGGATATATGTCATAATTATTTGAGAAAATCCGAAATTATTGCTCTGAATATATGGTTCCAATGAAATATTTTACTTTTAGGATTTGTCAAAATATTATATAAATTATTGTAAAATATAATTTTGATATATTCTTTAAATAAATCTTACCAGTTATGGAACTACCTTCACAAAATCGGGAGTGTCTAAACGCTAACGATATAAAACTTGCATTTAGTGAAGGGGGAGGACAAAGTTCCATCATGTAGTTCAGTTATGGTGTATTTTTACTTTCACTTTTACTTTCATTTTCTGATTCTCCGTAACTACAGTGCTTTCCTCATGATGACTAAATCCTAGTTTTCCAGACGGGATAGGTTTTACCGTTTGTAATTTAATGGGCAGAATCAGTCGCCTAGAAAGGCAGTAAATCTACTCAGATACAAGGGCTTACTGGGAGGAGTGGAAGAATTTGAATACAGAAACATGGCTATGGAGCAAAAACAAAAGATGAGTAATCAGGAGGACAGCAAGTAACGATTGACATTAAACTTCAAAAATTTGAATGCAAAGTTGACTGGAAAGCATGGCGCCGGAAGAGAGAGGTACGAGAAAAGAAACCTTTAGCCTAGAACTTATGGCTACATCTAGTCAGGCTATGTATAAATTGGTGAGATTTCGACTCGGGTCTAGTGCTGCGCTTAAATTCAGAAAGTATAGGTACCATAGCGAAACGCTCATCCGAACAATTGCTATGAAAGAATTAATAGAAAAGCCACAGGGAAACAACTTTATGGCGGTGAGAAAGACAATGTTGCCAAGATGCCAGATCAGGACCTGTAATATTGCTGATTCTTCTTTGGATTTTATTAAAGATGTATAGTAAGTGTACCGGACCATATGTGGCAGCAATAATCTAATCCTGGGCGAATTGTAGACTTATCGATATGTAAGATAGATTCTGCAGAGAAAAACTATCTAACACGACACACGGAAAGAATTTTCTTAACTACTGACCTAACAATGGATTCAATATAGGCTTCCGACTCCGTCGAAAACGTTAGACCGAAAAGGCATAGCGAATCACTCTCCGGGAGGTTAGCATCAGCCACTGTGATGAAATGCTAAAAAGAGTCCCTCACGTGATTAATAGAGAGTAGTTTAGTTTTGGAGGTGTTAAGAATAACGAGCCATCCTTTAATAACTGTTAGCAACAGACTAAAGGTCGTTACTGACATCAGCCGCTAATTTGACTTTATCGGACTGATCAGATTTATTATCGAGATATGAGTAAATCTAGCTTCCACTGTATTCTTCGACGTGATCCTTTTCCAAGGGATATTCGTAATAATCACGTGAACGAAATGAAATGCAATCATAGCGTACTCGATTTCTTGTAAAAATGTTCCCTATTATTCCAGTATCAAAATCTTTGTTACCTTGTGTAAAGAATACAAAAACCTTTAATCTTGCAATGAAGCCATTTAGTCAACATATTATTTGACTACTACCCACAAGTGAGGTGCGACCATTGCTCTTTACCGTAGAGTAGTTCGAAGGAGAGATAACTATAGTTTCTTTTACTCCACATGTTGAAATTAAATGTAGCAGACTTAGCATTTTAAAATTGGTAGGGCAAGCAGTCTATGAAGAGTCCTATTTGGAATAGCAAACCAGCTTATAAAGAGGGTTTCTGTCAGGTGAACTTGTCCTAGAAGGACCCACTCTTTCTCCGACTACTGTATATGTAATATCTTAATGAGCCTTTTGTTATGGGATTCATAATGGTCAATACAATCCTATACATAAACGTGGCGGGATTGATTTTACATATATGGATTTTGTTCTGTTAAAGTAAGTAATAAAGGAACAGATATAGATTTATTGAAATGTGTAAAAGGTGTGAAAAAATTGTGCATTTCGCATCGCCCATAAATTCTGCTTTCGTTGAGACCTGAAACGTAACGGAAAACGCCATTTGTCTAAAACATTGCTTCCTGGAAATAATTGCATTTTCGGCTCTTTTTTTCTTCGATTTTAAGTCGTTTCTCTCTTCTTATTTTAATTGTGATCATTTGCCTCAAAGGATCTGTCAATACAAAACATCCTATTTTAACAGTGCTACACATGAAATCAATTAAATACCACTCGACTATGAGACGATTTTTAACGCTTGTTCTTTGAGTTGTTTATTTCTTTGGACCTTCAAGAAAGCAAGACCTCATACGTAAACGCAAACGCCTCTTCGTTATCGACTGAAGAATTCCAAAGTATTTAAGAATAATCCAGCGGCATTAAATAAAAAAAAAATGTCCCACATGTCGTCAATTTTCGTTCGATATGAAATCTTTCGGAACATCAGGATATTGATTAATCTATCCGAGTTTTGGCTGAATTAAATTTTCATTCATTTATTATTAAAAAAATCTTGCAATGTATTTGCCTTTCCGATGTGAAGAAAGAAAGAATTATAAAATCCAATGTAAATTGTGATTGAAGGAAATCTGAGATATTTTTATTATTTTTTTCCTTATTTCACATGTTATTCTAGCTTATATACATTCAGCTTTCGTTGTATCTTCTACACGAATAATGGCAGATCGATGAGAAAACATTGTTACTATTATTTTATATTTAGACTGGATTATTATGGTAACTTGTTTCGCCGGAAATGTCCTGGTGATATAAGCTAACAATCCTTTTCGTTTTTGTGTGTGTCAGTTCTTTGGCTTAAGGGATGTTAGCTCGTGAAAATACTTTACCATGCAATATAACTAAACCAATAACAGAAACTGAAATCTGTCCCGGTTTGTGGTTTGGAAATTATAGTAATCTTATATTTAGAAAAGGAAAATACGCATCTTGATTTATTAATTCGTTTTTTTTTTTTACAGCTTATTACCCCTTTACAGGTTATTTAAAGCCAGTGAATCTTTATAGATTGTAATGTTTGGTGGGGACGAATAATAATTATTTTTAGTTATGCCAGTTTTACTAATTAATCTATAGCTGGAGGAGCGAATAGGTAGATTCATACCATTCCCACCGGTATTTACGTGTAAATGAATACAACAAAACCAACTGGAATTCGAACTCGGCCCTCCGTTTAACAATTCCAAACCATTATCCATCACACCACCCGCACATCTAAGCTTACAACACCTAGTATTCCCAATCGGTCCCCCATCTAGGTGCTGACCAGGAACAATATTGCTTAACTTCGGTGATCGTACGGGAACCTGTGTTTCAACGTATTATAGCCGTGAACCTCTTTCTTTCTGCTTGTACTATGTTTTTGTTAGGAAAATAATATCCGATTTTAAAATCAACGTTTATTCCTGAAGTAATATACTTAAACAACGTTTAAAGCAGTCTCATTCCCTTTTACTCCTAGAAGACCCTTCTCATTCTTTATTACTCCTAGTAGCCTCTTCTCATTCTCTTTTACTCCTAGTAGCCTCTTCTCATTCTCTTTTACTCCTAGTAGCCTCTTCTCATTCTCTTTTACTCCTAGTAGCCTCTTTTCATTATCATTTACTCCTAGTAGCGCCATCCCCTTCTCTTTTAATCCTAGTAAACCCTACTGTTGTCTTTTACAACTAGTAGCCTTTTCTCATTCGGTTTGCTCCTATTAGCCACTTCTCATTCTCTTTTACTCCTAGTATCCTTTTCTCATACTCTTTTACTCCTAGAAGTCTTTACTCATTATCTTTTACTCCTATTAGCTTCTTCTCATTATCTTTTCTTCTCAGAGTAGACTCTTCTCTTCCTCTTTTACTCCTAGTATCCTCTTTTCATTCTCTTCTACTCCTAGTAACCACTTTTCATTCCCTTTTTCGTCTAGTAGAATCCTGTCATATTCTATCTTTTAGTAGCCTCTTCATGTTCTCTTTTACTCCTAATAACCGCTTGCATCTTCGTGGAATTATCGCCTTTCCTGAGGTGATTTTTTTAACAAAATACCCACGTATATTACAGCTTGTAAGTGATTTTCTTACCTAATTTCTATTAGAATCAACATGGCTCCTATGCATCCTATACGGGAATACTGGGTCTTTTGATGTCGAAGTCTGTCCCACTTTTTCATTTTCTAATATTTTCAAATATATTTAAAATCCATATAGATAAGCCTTATGAGATGTATGTTATCACTAGCTTTAGCCTTTCTACAAGGATTGCCATCAAGTATATTTCAAATTGTAGATATTGGATTATTGCAAAAGTTCGTGGCCGATTATAAATTTAAAAACAATAAAATAGAATACGAATTTTGCAATGACTATATATATATATATATATATATATATATATATATATATATGTATGTATGTATAGTGCCACTCACAAGTTTAAAAGACGTTATTACAAAAAAAATGTTTCTTTAGGTATTCTTAACACAGATTAATGAAACTTTTCCTTCTAATAATACATATGTTTAACATTCAGTCAACCAATCAATTTTTTAAATAATCAATCCAAATATCCTACGAAGAAAAAACAATATTTAATGACGCAAAAGTTTACAATAAATTCATTAAATCGCATATTAATAATTCGTAGCGTAACCGTTATTGCTAATTGCAGTCGTTTAGAGTAATCCCCTACGATTTTTTTGAGTAATATTTTTCATGCTTCAGGCGTGATACAAGAAAGTGATTTCGCTTAAGAAGTTTTTTTTTTCTTTAGAGTCCTCGAAAATATGTCATATCGATGAAGTAAACGACTTATTGTATCCGTACTCACTTTTACTCCACTGACTAGACCTCCCTGAAGCTCTTTAACGGTAACTCGGGGCTCTTTATCAACATTTCTCGCCAATAATCTTACAGGTACGTTCCGTTACATTTCTAGGACGACCAGAGCTTTTTTTTGGAGGGTGGGGGGTGAATGGAATGACACGTCTTCCAGTGACGAACTATCGTACCAAGTGAACTCAATGGCACATTTAACTGATTAGATATCTTCCTACAACCAAGTTCATTTGTATGAAGGTCAACAACACGCTTACGGAGATCTTGATCAATTATTTTGCTTTTCCCTATTTTGTCAATGCTTAAGGGACGGTTGACAGAAAAAGAATGACACAATACTTTTATCATTCCTATAAATAATCATAAGATTAATATGGAACGTTCTAAGAAGTAATCCCATCCTAATATGGACTATTCCAGTAAAATTTGAATACTTTTATGAAAAAACTGCATCCCCCTATATAGGAGAAACCACATTGGGATCCAACGTATTTACCGCTCGGTTACAAACAGCGTCACAGCAAATCCGGGGCGCACGTTAAGATTTTGGCAAAATTCGACACCCTCAAAAAATAATTTTCAAATATCTCCTTTCCTAAAAGAAACATTCTTTTTCTCAAGCCAACATAACTGACTATATTTTCTTTTAAATTAATTGATAAAGCTTGAATCAAAACCTATAATTTAAAATAAATGAATACCTGAATCATTTAGTAAATTAAAATTAAATAATAATGACATCATATATATATAAATGTGTGTGTGTGTGTGTGTGTGTGTTTATAAACAAATAAAAATTTCAACAATTACATTTATAGTGGGCTGAAAAGTTCACAGGCTGACTATGAAGGAGTGCTATTAGACCTGTGGACGTTTGTAGCATTAATATCAACTCTTCTTATTAGTAACTGCATTGTTTCATTCCAGGTTAGCTGACAGCTTAATCTCTGAAGACATCAAAAGTAACTTGTATCGACTTCTCTTGAAAATGGACAAAACGTGGCATCGTGATGATATCAAGTACACGAAGGAAAAAGAGATTAACCCCAAGGACATTCTTTCTGATAATTATTGATACATTAGGGAACAAATCATCAGCTTTATCAACAGTGCAAAAGAGGTCAGGTGAATTTCAGAGGGGAAGGGGTATTCTTGATGATGAGCAAATATGATACTTAAAAATGGCGTCTTGAAACTGGCAGCACTGAGGAAATCATTGATCATCTTCACTGCATGTTGATGGAAGACACGCGAATGACTATAAACCATATAGCTAATGCTATTATCATATCCTATGAGAGATTTTACAATTTTCTGTACAATAAAATTGGCTTCTGCTCGGTGGGTGCCACGTTCTCCGACGCCTGATGAAAATCGCGCCAATCTGATTGCACCACGGGAAAATCAGATAATGTTTGAGGCGGACTCAGTTGGTTTCCTTGAAGGTTTCCCAAACCATGATGAGTAGTGAGTTCCTCACTTTCAGCTAGAGTCAAAGAGACAGTCCATGCAGGGGATAAACTCCTGCTCAACTGCTCCAAAGAATACCAAGATCGTTTCAACTGCGGGGATGATGACTGTCTCAGCTTTTTTTTTACACAAAAGACTTGGTGATTATCGACTAGCTTCAAAATGGCCACACCATCAATATAGAGTACTATACTAACTTGCTGAGGAGGTTAGCAAAGGCTAACAAGAGCAAACGCCAAGGAAAACTGACAAAAGTGGTCTTGTAGATCCGAATGCAGTTTTCTGGTAATTTTATAGTGTTTTTTTTTTTATTTACTATTGATTGCTATTTTATTTGACTGTTATTATTATGTTTGTTTGTGTTTAAGGTATAAACAGTATAAAATAGACACAAAACGGTATTCGAATCCACAATTATTTCCACTCAATAGTTCCTAGAATAATTCGAAACATGACCGTTGTCGCCCACAAAATAACCGTGGGATTAACGCAACAGACCTACTGATCTTGCATCACTGGCCCACATATATAAACAGCCGAGCCAAAACACAACGCACATAGCTTCACGGTTGCTTTTAAGTATGAAACGCTGTTGTGTGTTGACCTCAGTATCCACTTTTATATTTATATTTACATACGGTCTATCCCTGCTAACGAGCACTTTAACACATAAATATGACATACCTTCAAACTATATTAGCGATGTTCTCTCAGCATGGCTACATATATAAAAACAGCAGTGTTGACACCGAAGTGGAGTGACAACTGTGTATGTATATATGCTTGAACGCGTGGATATGTGCTTGCGCCTAGCTTCGGCTTGTTTATATGTGTTTATGTGGGCGGGATTGTGTGAATTGGAATGCATGCACCTGTGTGTATGTGTGTCTGTGCATGTGAGAGTGTCATCCCAAACAAACATAGAAGAAAATTCTGCCCAGCATCAAACATAAACACAAATAAGCATAAATAGATCGATTTTATTTAAAAAAATACACCAGTTTTTCTGATGATTGCAAATGCTTGAAACCCAGGGTCACAGATTAATATCCATACAACGGAATATGTTAGCTCTATCCCTGATGCTGAACACTTTCCACTAAGTACTAAGCATATTATATATATATATATATATATATATATATATATATACAAGTGTAAAGAGAACGAATAGAATAAAAAAATATTTTTTAATTTAAAATATTAAAACTATAATTCAATCATAGAGCTATAATTTTTTATTAAAAGCTATTACATTCGAACATATGTAAGGCGCTACATCAATGCATTCATGTTTCGATGCCTAAGCATCTCATCAGGCGGTGGTAAGTGAAGTTTATCACTATTTTTAATAAATGAATGTTATTACAATTTATAATATTTAATTGCTAACAATAAAAGGGATTGTGAGCAAGTAAATATTAAAAATTGTAATAAACTTCATATACCATAACCTTATGAGATTTTATGGTAGCCATCGAAACATGGATGCGTTGATGTAACGGTTCACATATGTTCGAATTTAATATATATATATATATATATATATATATATATATATATATATATATATATATATATATATATATATGCGTTTTTATTTGACATCAGTTCCCACGACACGACTCCAAACATTATTTTATCTGTCCAAATATATCAGGCACAGGCAGTATTTTATCCGCACGCTAATCTTACATTTCGTTAATTTCAATAACATAAAAACTACCAACCTTATAATATGAGTCTTCCGCCAGTGTTTACGTGTCTTCAGCGTTCAACTGAGTAGTTATTCAAACGCTTACTCTGGAGGTTTTCATCTCCAAGTCGTCCGGCATTAAACATTTTGAATAGAGAATTTTGCTAAGGGATCATTGGTTCCATCTGTGAAAGCAGGACACTTGTCAAGCGGATAAGCATCCTGAACAAAATGGGAATTGATGTGGGCGTTTCCAAGCGACATTAGCGTTATTTACATATCTTTTCAATGGCGTCGTCTTTTCAAGCCGATCCAGAAGAAAACGTGCGTTCGGTAAATGCAGAGCCTTCTGCCCACGGAAACAGCTACGATAATTTCTGTAGGCTTTTGCGTCTCAAGTGACCATTTCAATAGTCTTCATGCTCATTCCGCTGTAAATGCCGCGAGTTTAAAAGCGATCTTCAAAAGAGTAGCTTTGAAGTTCTCAGAAAGCAGTTCGCCTGCTGGAAGGGAACTCTATGCATTTGGAAGTATATTTATTTCAGGATCTGCTTACGTGTGCTTATGAGAATATGAGTGGTTACCTGTACTGATAATTTTCTTCTTCTTCTTCTTCTTCTTCTTCTTCTTCTCACTTTATAACCATCTACTAATTGTGTGATTGTCGGATGTGGGAGAAATCTCAGCTATAATCTCAAACAGCGTGTTTAGCGTAAATGCAATTGTAGCTTTTAGTTCAGATTTCTGGAGAGTTCCAAATCGCCAAAAGATTTTGAAAAGTCGCCAAATGTAAGAATATATTGTTCAATATATTACTTTTTAATTGTTTTAAACACTTACGAAGTGATAGCGAACTATTTATAAACACGAATTTAAATATTTCCTTTCGTAGTGTCTAAACAGTATGTGGTAATTAAGTCTTTGCTGCAATTTGCCAACTCTAGCAGATTATTTTAATGGGGCACATACAGAGAGACGAAATCACAGACAATGAATATTTATCTGCTCTAAAGTAAACCGTCTCGCAGATATTAATTAAATAAGTTTACTCAAGCGGAAGTCTGCAATATATGGCAACACAGCGCGGATCGAACTCACAGCATGATCGATTATCTGAGAGAGGCGATTACTAAACATTACTCTACTGTAAACACCCTAAACATGCATGCATGCATATATATATATATATATATATATATATATATATATATATATATATATATATATATATATATATATATATATTCGACTCTCCCGTCGAATTCGACGAATGAGGGTCAAGGAGATCAGTTCCTAGGAAACTGACAGCCCGACAGCAGCACATAAGAATTGATTATAGTGGTGAAGGCCTCGTGCAGGACCATCCACACTTTTTGAAGGGACGAATACAAGAGACCTGGTGAACCGAATGCCACAAGGTTCTCAAACGACCCTCCGCAGGTTTTGAATTCAGAGTTGTCCTTCTCCTAGACCAGTTGCCATCCAAGGCTATAGAACCCAGTCTGTCCTGCTATTTACCCATAGCATGCTTTACTATATATATATATATATATATATATATATATATATATATATATGACGTCACATATTATGAAATGGAAAAAGTCCGAAGATTATTTTAAAACATTTTTGTAATGTTTATACGTTCTTTTTTTATAGATACAGATATTTAAGCAAATGCTCTGTTTTTAATAAACAGTATTAACGCCTGTAAACACGCCTGAATATCCGAGAAATGTTCATAGAAAATAAGCATCCTCTGAGAGGAATCTGAACCTATCTATCTATCTATCTATCTATCTATCTATATATATATATATATATATATATATATATATATATATATATATATATATATATATATATATATATATATATATATAGTATTATAGAAACACGAACTGTTAGAAAGCCATGTTATAATATATAATTCACTGAAGTCGGAAAACTGACCCCCCAACTCTTCAGATCTCCTAATACAAACAAAAATGGAAAAGATTTCTCCAGTCCTGAAAAACAAATTTATACGAATATGCAGATCTAACTTTGTAGGAGTGGGGGTTGAATTTTATACCTAAGATTGTGGAAGGGGAGTTGATGAAAGAGATAGTATGTATTCAGAGAGAGTGGAAATAGAGAAAAACATTTAAAAATTGAACGTGATACGAATAGATGTTATTTTTATAAACTGACTTTTTTTTGGCTATAGACGTGGGGACCTAATTTAGATACACATTACAGAAAGAAATGGTCACATCACATCAATGTTGACATTTGAAAATACATAAAAAAAGAAAAAAGAAATGAAAAGGAATACAATAAAAGTTGGAAATTTAGTGTGCAATCGAAATTATATTGGCTGGTTACGATTATGACACTTATGTGTATAATTTTTTAAAAACAGAAAGAAAAAAGGAAAAAAGAAAGAAAAAAACGTGGTCTTTAATATTAATAATAATGTGTAGTTAAGAACATACTGAAAAATATGTAAATCTTTCTTAAATATCTAAAATCTAATCTAAAAATTGGATCTCGTTTAATATATATATATATATATATATATATATATATATATATATATATATATATATATATATATATATAATAAAAAAAATAAAATTTTCCATATTAACTATAAAATTACTGATGATAGTCTTAATAAAAATAACAGTAGTTTTTATAATCATGGACAATTGTAGTTTAAAAACAGTAAAATCGACCTTCCTAACCGAATGGCTCCCCTTTGGCTCAATTGGTGAAGCACGTCAGGCTAATGACGGTTCCGTATAGGATACAGGTTCGATTCCTGTCAGAGGACGCATATTTTCTATGATGATTTCTCGGACATTCAGGCCGGTAAATGTCGTTAATACTGTTTATTATAAACAGAGCATTTACATAAATATTTGTATCTATAAAAAGAACGTATAAACATAAAAAATGTCTTAAAATAGGTGTCGGACTTTGTCCATTTTATATCTACACATGTACACACAGATGATCTCAGTGCATATGCATTACATATGTAAAAGTATACATATACACATATCTACACATGAATGTATTCCTTTGAAAATCAAATATACTTATATTTACCCACTAACAGCATGGCCCGGCGTTGCGCGTGCTTGATTCAAAAATCGTACCACTCATACAGCAATCGCTATCACTTGACTTAAAATTTAAAATATTTTAGCCCTTCCTTGCCTTTAAAGGAGTGCCCTTTGCCGTGCTGATGCTGCTACATGCCTTACTTTTTGCCTATCTCACACTGCGAATTTTTTCTAAGCTCTATACTAAACATTAAATCTGTTACGAAAAAAGAACTAAACAAAATGAACACAAAACGATCAGCTTTAAAAAAAAAAGGACTCATAATTGGAAAAACCGAATGAAAAAAGAATGTTAAAACAAATACTTTTTCACACCCAACCCAGTTCTGCGGAATCAGAATCAACGTTGAGTTTAAGCAAGCGAATGAGCCAATTGGAGTAAAGTGCCATACAGATTTAAATTTTTCCCACTTGTGACGAATGCAGCTATCGATTTTTTTACATGCTTGCATGCTAGTTAACCTCTCGTGTCAGTAAGCTGTTGGCTCTCACGCTGGCCAGTAGAATCTTCCTGCCTATTCGTGGCAGCCAGCTATAGGCCCTCACTCTGGCCAGTAGAAAATGGCCGCAAACTACACGAAAACTGCCGTAGAAGCATGAAAAAATCGATTATTTCTACTCTCGATGAGAGTTGGGAAATCAAAGTCGGTCTTAGCCTTTCCACTAACTTGGAGTATGAGCATGTAAATTTTGGTGTAAATCCGTCGAAAATTGCAGGGATGCATTTGTTACAGACACACACACACACACACACACACACACACTCACACACACACGCGCGCGTGCGCATCCTGCCGTTTATAGATAGAAATGATGCCATATAAACATATAAAAATAAGCTAATTTCATATGTATAATTTCACACATAGACCCACGTCCATATATGCACGTATACACATAATAAATAAATCTCTCCCTTATATATATATATATATATATATATATATATATATATATATATATATATATATATATATATATATATATATATATATATATATACGAGTACTGATCTAAAAGAGTATCGGGATTGTTGTTATGGTAACAAAGCTAGATTAAACTAGAGAGAATACGCTTGGCAAAGATAGACGTTGAACTCTGTATTCGCATGCACACTAAGATCACGCTCGTTTGGAGGGAAAGTGTATAGAATGTGGTTGTCTCAGCCCAAAACAGATGTTCCATCATTGACCATGGCTTATGCAGCAGTTTGGTATCAGCCACAATATTCCGCAGATTCAACAATCATTAGATTCCATATTCCACAGATCACGTTCCTTGCTACTTTTGCTTGTTCATAAATCAAATCTAAATTGAAAGGAATAAGATTTGAAGACATTGATGCATTCTAAGAGAATTCATCGAAACAGCTGCAGTCTATTCCAAAAATGGTGCTTCAGGAATATTCCCATCAATGGAAACGACGTTGGATGAATTGGGTGGCTTCTGATGTGGTATACTTCGAAGGACATTAAATGCCGAATTGATATGTGATATAGTTTTCTTTTTATAGCACCAGTCCCGATACATAAAAGAGACAAGAAAATCTCAGTCAACCTGAATTTCCCATTTACTGCCATTATGTCAAAAATGGCATCGTGATTTTTTTCCACTGAACAGTTTTTGAATACAATAATCATACATATTTTACATAGAAAAAGTCCTTCGTAAGGTGTGCGTTATAACTGTGAGAACATTTCTTTGTATTTTTTTAAGGCATGGGCTTCCAGGAATCCCTTCAATGAGTCTATCGGAATATTTTCTAATCAATCCAGGGTCTCTAACTATAACTGGAGTTGTTGATGTCTTCGTGTGCCACATTTTTGAGATTTCGATTTCAAGGTCCTTGTATGTTGATAGTTTGTTTGAAGATCTTCAATGATATATTGCCGTCTACAGCGAATGCCATATCAGAAAGGAGGTACGTTTTGTCTTTGCGGTCGTTAATCACGATGTCTGACCGATTAGCTGTGATTCTTCTATCTGTATGTATAAAATTGTTACAGGCCCTATTTCCTTAACCGGGTCTGGTTGGTGTCCATACCAATTTCTTGCAGTTTCCTTTCCGTAAACGTTGCAGATTGTCAAATGATAACATTGGCCCACTCTATCATGCCGGGTTTCATATTCAGTAGGTGCCAATACCGCGCAACCTGATAAAAGAAAAATCCAGAAAGCAATGTAAGTACTCGTAAATAAATCCGCTGAATAATAATATTCAACAACTTTCTTTTTGGCTGCTGAATGTAATCGATGCTAATATCTAAGTAATGGAAACATTGAAGAGCAGAATGGAAATCAGGGTTGATTGGAATTTACTGGCTTTTCTGTCAGGAGAGAATTAGGAATGATGGATCGTAAGTCCTGGAAGCCACTGGCAAACCCTAACCAGATTGGCATCAGATTTCTCTTGCATCATTTATCAGATTGCCTGATCAAATATAGCATCAAGAATGTCTTCGATTGTCTTACCCAGGTCCATTGCTTTTTCTACATACCCCCATCCCTGCATTATCATTCATTTAATTCTGTCATTAATGTTCCCAACTCACCTGAAATGTCCTGTGGCATCAGACAACTGCTGTGGGCTCTTCTACGTTTCTAAGTTTACACACTTTCTTTCGTTTCTTCTTCTTCTTCTTCTTCTTCTTCTTCTTCTTCTTCTTCTTCTTTACTTCTTCGGACCTTTACTAACTCTTCTTCTTTTCTCATCCTTCTAGTCCCTTTTACGACTTCTTTTTCTTATCATTCTTATTATTATTTCTGCTATATTCTTTTTTCTTTCTTTCTTTCTTTCTTTCTTTCTTTCTTTCTTCCACTCCTCCTCTTCTTAATCATTCTTCTTTCTTAATCACTTTTCTTCTTCTCTTTGTTAGCCTTCTTCTTCTTCTTCTTCTTCTTCTTTCACTTCTTCTTCTTTTTCTTTTTCTTCTTCTTTAATTCATTTCTTTTCTTTCCTATTTTTGTTCCCTATATTTTTCTTCCCTTTCTTCTTTATTTTCTAGGTCTCAATCATTTTTATTTTCTTATTATCTCTCCCATATTTTTCCTTCTTCCTCAGCTAAAGTTCCCTCTCAGTATTGTTCTTTTAAATACTTTTCTTTTATTCAAAATATTCATATTATTTCTCTAATTTTTCCGCTTCCTCTATATTCTCCGCTTTTCCTAAATTATTTCTTTTCTCGTGAGATCGTTCATTTTCTTCGGAATCTATTTTTCTATTCATTTTTTCTCATCTTGCATTTACTTTCTACATACTCTTGTCAACATTCATTTTCTGTTTTTATAAATTATTTCTTCGGCATTATTTTCTTTATATATTAGTCTCTCAACGCTTCGCTTCCAAGATTCCTTAGTTGGTATTTCGATTTTATATTTACCAAACAGAAAGTAGAAATACGAACTAAGGAAACATAGACTCATTAACTGGTTTTCATTAAAACTTGGTAGGCTTAACTTCGTAGTATACTTGTCAAAATGAAGGACGTGATAGTATTGTGACAGTCTTCTAGCTGGAGACGTCCGACCGGTCTTAAAAAAAAAAAAATAGCCAGACACGGACATCTATTAAAATATCTTTTGTAGATACACAATTATTACAGCTACAAGAATGGCCGCATGTCTCCACAAATATTTTTTTATTGTAACATTTCAACTCTTTTTTTAATATTTTCTCCCTTTACATAAAATTCACCTCCCATTGAATTACACGCCTGTATTTTTCATTCTTCATAACGGTCTTTCATAATCGATTGGTAACATTTCAATGTTTTTAAAGTCATCCTTCTGAAAACTTGTTGCGTTGTTTATCGGCTCTTGTTGTCTATATACGCTGCATCAAGAGACGAAATTATTGAGAGACAATTTTTCTCGTATTTTTTTATTATTGTTTATGGCGATCCATTTTTGAGAATGTATTTATTGAAAGAGAAAGGGAGAGGGATGGAGAGAGGGAAAGAAATATAAAGAGAGTCAGATATCAGCAGATCGACCATCTAATACCTTCGCTATGTGTATTATGTAATCTCTGCTTCATAATTTAATAGTACTGTGTTTCTCATTCAAGTCTCCTTATTAAAACTACGGCAACACAAAGTGGTCCGAGGGAGGAATGCTTGATCAAAGCTCCGGACTTTTCTAATGCCGCAACCGTATTCATCGTTACCTCCCCTGCTTTGTAATCTTATATAAACATTAAAGCAATAACAACCAATCAATGTCACAATTCTGCAACGACTGGGCTCAAATCACCTCCCACTGTGTTCGGATTTTTTTGGGGACCGAAATTCAGACCAGTTACTGTAGGGTCTTGATTTGCATTCATTATTATTTACCCTGAGTTTCCCACGCATTATGTAACACACTTTTAAATTCAACCGTTACTGATAAGCTGTTTAATAAATATGAAGCAAGGAGAGACCATCAAACTGACTACTCAAATAGATTAGTTCGTTACTTATTTCACCACAGCTAGTTATTGAATCTGATCCAACAGTGTCTTGTGGTGATGAAAAATATGAAGATTTAAGAAGACGACTTTTCAAAATCCAGGAACAGTTAAGAAAAATGAACCGTGTACAAAAGCTGTGAATGCAACCTGTCATCTAGGTCCGCTAGAACAAGGCAGTGATATGTGATATGGAGGACAGGCGGTTGCCCATGTAACACGTTCCCCTCTCCAGGTTTCTGGTGAGGCCAAAGGAACGACAGGGTAGCTATAATTTGGGACCGGTGCCCTCTCAGGAGTTGACAGAACGGGTTGGGTACAACGTCGAACTGCCTTAGGAACTCCGTCTCCGGATTTTTCAATCGAGGTTTCCTCTTGAAGCCTTAAATGGCTGGATATACCCGCAAGGCAGCGGAGGTTTGAAATAAGACTTTTCCTTCCCCTAGGTGAATTGCCTTTCCAGGCTGTCGATGCCGGATGTAGCTTAACGTTAGATACCATGCATGATACACGCTTAGGCGATAATGTATCTTTCGATATATGACTGACGAAGCAGATCTTTTCGGTGGTATGTTGTCATTTATTTCTGCAGTAGAACAGTTGCCATCCAAGGTTATAGAATCCGGTCTGCCTTACTATTAACCCATAGGGGTGGGGGTGAGAAGAATAAAATTCATACCTTTCTCAAGGCTATTAGCACGTAAGTGAATGTAATGAATTCGACTGGAATTCGAACTCGGCTCTCCAATTCCCCAATCCAAGCCATTATCCATTACTCCTCAAAACGAATACTCACAAAAATAGCTCTTATTATTTACCTTTTATGCCGAAACATTGACAAACATGAATACTGAAGTTGAACAACCAAGAGGTATGTCGAATTACATATTTATTGATTGGATGATTCATTCTTTACGTTTTATCAACCCTTTGCAGGCTATTTATAGCCATAAAATATTATTAGATTGCAATCGGAGTGGGAGATTATAACGGTTTAGTGATAAAAGTATTTTTAATTTACGCATAGGTTCCTGAGATATGGGTTCATATAATTTCCTAGAGCATTTGTGCATAAATGATCATAACGAACTGAATAATAATTGTAACATGGTGCTCCGATTAACGATTCTGAGCCATCATCCATTACACCACCCGCACATCCAACCTTACAGCATGTGTAACCGGTCAAGCATCTAGATTCTGGGCAGACTCGACGTTGCTTAACTTTAGTGTTCGTAATGGAACCGCTGTTTAACTCCGGTAGATGTGGATATTTTACTTTCCATATTAGCCGCGCAGATTTTTTTCTTGAACTGACTTTCCCTAATTAAATAGCGCGCTATTTCTCTCTCTAGCTCTCTCTCTCTCTTATCTCTCTCTCTCTTATCTCTCTCTTTCTGATTTCTCTCGTGAGACAAAATTAAGCATCTTATTGTGTAAACGACGCGACAAGAAATGTCATATTTCTGCTTGCAACTGCTTCCAGGGCTAAACGTTGCTTAAAGTAGGAGAACTGGTAACATATATAAACAGGAACAATATTTAATCCTACTATTTTTTTGGCAAACATAAATAACCTGTGCGTTAATTGGGTCTACAATGATCTACCAAATTTCATGATTGGCATTATGTATGTTAATGGAAGATGATGACATCGTGCCTTTAGGCCTATATCAGTTACGCTCTGGCATCTGGTGAGCCAATGTAACGTTTGAATTATCGAACTTAAAACTGAACATCTTCAGATATTTTGCATTCCTTGAAATCCTGTGTCACATGTACACCGAGAATATCTGACGGAAGGCATTACTGAGCACCGTGCCTCCTGGGTATGATGATAAACTACATCCGCGTCCTGAGTATGGCAATAAACTACATCCGCATCCTGGGTAAGACGATAAACTACATCCGCGCCCTGGGTATGACGATAAACTACAATCCTCGTCCTGGGTATGACGATAAACTACACCCAACAGCAAAGCTTCTGTTCAGGAGGATTTGAGGAGCGTGGAAGCACGTCTTAATTGCTGGTGTTCCCAGGTCCACCCTGACCCGTGGGGGTAGAACCTGTTAGGGTGCTAGGTATGGGCAAATAGATAACCATCAAACTCGGATTAAAACGTGTAAAATTAGGTTTTAATTTTTATATTTTTGTAAAATCTTATTATTAGCAATACATTATTACCAGCAATGAATTTTGAAGTAAGATATTACGAGCAATAAAAATCTGCATTAAAAGACCCATTAAGATTGATATGTCGTAAAACAAACCAAACCAAACTGACCACCGTAGATAAAGCATTAGCCTACTATTTGTCCTTAATTTTGCTGATCAGAGTCGTTTCTAAAAACAGAGTATCTATTCACATACAACATCATTTAGTGGCAAAATTGTACATTGAACTTTCATATCACAACCTAAACTCACCAAAAATAAGCTAAACAAGCTAATAAACACAAGCTTCCACCCGATATATTCTCTGATATTGCCGAGACCAGGAGTGGCCATACTTGCTTTTAATGTAAGAGCCACATATGATAAAATTCAGATGTTTGAGAGCCACAAGGCATGACCAAAATTTCCCCATTTTGTAACCAAATGTTCATATAAATATTAAGAAATGCATTTATGCAATAATATTTATTTATGTATGCAGCTTTTTAAACTATTAATTTGTACTGGTTTCAATAATCATAAATTAAACATATATATACCAAATATTTTCAAAATCTTGACTGATGATTAATTTAACTATATTGAGCGTATTTAATACGATAATTAACTACGGGAACTTCATAGAAAAATGTGCGAATTTTCATTTCGGTAAAATAAAATGATATATCTACATACCGTGAGTGCAGTCCCTTTAACCCTCTCACTCGTAACCTCAGTCTTCAGACATTCATGTGTGACCTGATCGGAAAATTCTTTAATCTTTTTCCCTTCCTTCCACTATTCCTTCCCTCAGCACTAAAGAACAATGTCTCACTCAAATCTAACATTAAAATTAAGATTCAAATTCTTAACTGTTTTTACTAACAATGAACATTAAAATTACGTTTTAATTCAATGTACTCTCAATTTATATCCAGTAAATAATTACAAAGCTTGAAATGTTTCCCTGATTTACCTTTTATATTAACTATGATGAAAAAACAGAGCTCATTCAACGTATTTCCATGAGCCGCATATTAAATGTCGAAGAGCCGCATGTGGATCGCGAGCCGCGGTTTGGCCAACCCTGGCCTAGACGAAGAAAGAGCAATGATTACTTTTCCAGAACATAAATTCTGAAAGCAAATAACAATGCTTATTTCCAAATGGAGTGAAGAAAACAAATTTCTACTAAGCTACCTACAACACATCACGACTCAAAAGAGAACAAAACTAGTAAATCCACAAC